GGCTTTGCTGATATGCCAGTGGAAATTCATTGCATTGTTAAGCCATAGCATGCAGGTACAAGCACACTGCTGCTTCAGGTGCTTTCCAAACAAACAAACAAATCAAAACAAAACAGAAACAAACAAAAAGCTTATCACTCCTTCAGAGAAAAACAGGCCTTTCAGAGCAATCAAAATAAGCTCTAACTCACCTTTGGCAAAAGATGCAGGGATATGCACACTGTAATATTTAACTGCAAGAAGTGTTGAGTATGTACAAGTGACTGGGTTGATGCCTGGATTTGTGTGCAAGGGCATTTTAATTCCCTAAAAATAACAATATTCCCATGACATTCATTGCAGGCATTGCACAGCAAACAATGCCTACAGCTCACAAACATACAGCTAGAAGTTCCTCCAGTGTGCACTATGAGCCATAAATGTTCAATTATCTCTGACTGGGTTTTACAAAGACATTTCAGTGGGAGAAGGCGCTGGGTGGAGGATGGAGAGCTGGCTAAAGGAACAGTAGGAAAATAGCCTCCATTATCTTTGCAACACATCAAGGAAAGAGGCTCCTCCTGCACATCTGAAGAAGCAAGATCTCTTCTACAGCCCTTGGGAAGTGTTCTGAAAAGGGTGGGGGTCACTGCACAGCAGCCAAAACCTGAGTTTGCACCTCTGTTTACAGCTTAACTTGCAAAATCGTGCAGCACAAAACTACTGAGCTCTGAGGCTTTTGATGGGAAAAAGCTTTCTCTGCTGGTTTCTCCAGAGGTGATTTATTCTGTAAAAACTGTACTGTGTAACATTTCCTGCCCTAAAAGCAACTCATGCAAAGTTAATTACATTGCACTATGTTTGTGGGAAAATACATTTTACTACAAGTTAATTTGAAGAAAAAAATATTATACAATGAATGCTATAAAAGAAACAGTTATGAGTTGCTTTAACAGCATTTGTAAATCAAATCACTGCACATCAATAACTTTAAAACCAACCTACATCAGGTTTTTGGAACAATGTATGAGGGAAACAGTTTTTGAGTAGCCATGTATTTTTCATAAGTTGTGGGTGGCAAAAAAAATGTGGGTTATTTGTTAAAAAGTACAAAAAGGAATTGCTTTCTTTCATTTATAAGACTTGATGATTTTTGCGTGTTCTGCTGTTTTCTGTGACTTTTTGAAAGCAACTCAGAAGCCAAAATCCTTAGACATTTTGTGATGTTTTTTAATTGAAAATATTTTTTTCAAGAAATCATTAATTACATGCTTTCCTCTTTACACAGAAATAGGAATTTCATCCATACAAATTAATAAATTGTGAGGAAAAAAGGGACTTTTGATTATCCAGGCTCACCTGTTTTTTTACACTGACCAAAGAAGAGATTTATTCCTTGCTAATACTTCTTTCACTCACTGAACAATAAACATGTATGATTCATGTTTCAGCTACAGAATATCTTCACACAAATGCAGTATTGCTGTGCATGGTAAAGAGCTGAATGTTGGCCCACAAGACATTCAACTCTTGCTTCCCATCCCTTGACTGTCAAAATATGGGCCAAATTTCTTGGCTAAATTTTTCTAACCGTGGCTTTCAGGCACCAGCTCTTGTAAAGCCTTTCGCTGCTTGGGTAAGAGCCTTCCTGCTCAGAAGCATGCTCTCCTGGGTCTGCCTCTCTGGGGAGTGGGGAAAAAAGAAGGAAAACCCAGGATGGGGTCCTGCAAAGTGGCCCTGACACCTGAACTCTTATCCTGCCATGGGCAGTGTGTGGAGCAGCAAGCTGTCTGTACACCTCCTCAAAACTTCAGTGCCTTGTCCCAAGACACCTCCTCTGAGCATTTATATACTGCTTTTAAGGACAATTGTAGCCTCAGTTTAAATAACTTTCTCTACTTGGAGACTTCCCCTAGTTTGGGGACATTTTGTACAATAACTGGGAAAAAAAAAAAAAAGACCTGAAGCTGGTTTGTGATTCCTCCCCATCCTCCAAAATCAGACGCCTCTTCTCCATGGCACATCACCTCAGAATTAATTTCAAGAGCAAATCTGGGGGAAAAGATCTCACACTGCTATTATTTCTCTTCTAAATTCTTTAAGTAGCTCACTGGAAAAGCTCGTGTGCACCAAGCTACTTGCATAATGTCATAGCCATAGCAGAGAAAGTCCCCAGAGCAGGTTGACAATATTAAATAAAAGAAATTGTACTCCTATAAAGAATTTCATGTTCACAGCATGCATGTGCAAAATAAGCTGCCACTGTTGCTGACTCGTGTGAATTTAAGTTTTGCAAGATTAGGTAATTTTCCTCCAAACCCTGCTCCTGTAGGATATGACTATGGGACCAAAATGTCTGGGATTTTTATCTTTTTCTGTTTCCTTTCATTATTTTTTCTGCCTTTCCTGGTTGTGGAAAAGCCTGCAATATGATGTGAGTGTGTTTTAAAGGCTTAAAAAACAAATACCTATTTATTCTGTTCCTTGAAGTTAAAGACAATCAAGAATTTATAATAACCACTTAATATATGTGGCTGAACCTTCTTAAAAGTGTAAGATAGCATTATTTCCTTGAGTTTTCTTACCTATTTTTCCTTTTTTAAATGGATAATTAATTCAGAGAATTAATTGTGCCAGATTCAAAGCTTTTGGATTGATGCCAACTGATTTCTCAAGATGACACAGCCAAACACACCTTTTATAAATTCCTAATATTGCATTGAGGACAGGAAAATATTTCTTGCTAAATGCCAGAAGTAGTTAAATGTACCATAATTTTGCAGACTTTACAGAGCTCCCACTAATGTGAATGGGATTCACAGGCACATGCAGGGATCTCAGAGAAACTCAACCTCTTGGAAGCAGCTCCTGGTGTTTAACCACAGAGCATTAAGCATTGAGTCACTCTGCCTGAGTTTCTGTTGGGTGGAGAAAGAAAAGGTTCTTCTCTCTGCCATTATAATACAATTTTTCCCTTTAGATTTATTAATCTGAGAATATTACAAATTCATTTGCTAAATTATAATGTTTTGAACGACTAGCAATATGCAATAAGAGTCTAAATACATGCATTTTAAAATCTATGGTTCCTAGTCTCTCCTCTTCTGGCAAGCAGTAATTACATGCAAACCCAAGAAATTAAGTTAATCATAACCATCTCACAAACAGGAAACAGGCATTAGAAGTGTCCTGTTGGGCCTGTACCAGTTATATTTAATTAAACAGAAAATGATGCATAATCCAGTACACCAGTCTCTTGTTTGCTCTAACAACCAACTGAAATTAAGTTAACCAATACTAACAAGTGTTCATGGAAGCAAGGAACTCAACTTCTGAAACTTCAGGGTTGACTTAGGGATTATCACAGCAAACAAAGTGACTTAAACAGCCAGGTGAATGAGCATTCAGAAACCAAATTCTTTAGGCAGTCTTGGAAATCTCAGCCTAGTACAATCTATGCTTGTACTAATTCCTTGATACTGTGCCAAAAATATTTTTTTAAAAAGCCCATACTGCTGGCCATGTAAATTGAACATATATTTCTGTTTCTGCAGCTGTTATAGCTACCTGTGTGTATTTTACCTCTGAATAAAGAGTACTTGCCAATCACCACTCATGTCTCTCTTTTCACTGCTAAGTGGGCAGAGTCCATGGTTTGGAGCAGGTGTAGAAAATCTTCAGGGTCAGAAAAACTCAGAATAAAGATTAAAACGCAGGTCTGGTATCATCCCAGCAGCATGGAAGGATTCCCGAAATCTGGCTCTCTGCCTAATGCTGTTTCTGTACCATACTACTTCTGTACTATACTATAATAGTACATATATTTCAATGACATTATAGGAAAGCCCAAGATAAGAAACAGATTTGTCTTTCTTTTGATCAAAACTTATTCTAAATGTATGTAGATAAAGTAACAACTGTGTAAATATCACTCAATAAAGTAATGTGAACACTACCATCAAAATTGTTATTAATAGTCATCCTATGTGTTTGACCATTTTGTGCATGTTTCCTCTTTGGCCAGGTTAGAAAAAATAGTAGAAAATATTTTGCCCCATTAAGAATTAAGAAATGAGACATTTACCTTTAACTAGGGACACAAATTGCAAAAACACCCTTTAAATTACCAAGAACACTGGATATCTGGTAGTATTCCACCCTGCATATTTCAAAGGCATGAAATTGAACATTTGAAGCAAACTTATCTACCTGTTCCAGCTGTTACCAATGAGGATAAGGGAATTTTTTTCCTAGAAAAACAGTAAGTCAGAAAACACCACTAATTTACTGAAAATTCCATAGGCTAAATAGATTGGGATTCCCATTTTCAAGGCATGAAAGAGACCAACTCTTTCACTGAGGGACAATGACTCATGAAAACTGTGATGAAAATATTTATGAAGCACTTTTAGCTGTTATTTATGAGTTCATGAACTTCCGTCCTACCCAGTCCTCTCATCCTATTCATGCAATTTGGCTGTAGTTTATATTTTACTCACATTATTAAAACAAACAAACAAACCAAACAAAAATTCAAAACACCTCTTTTAGCAGTCTTTTAGCTAAGACTGTTTTGTTTTAAATGAAAATTTGTTTAAATTGCCAGGTCCAGTCTAATAAGCAGGGCACAGCTGAGTACATTTAGGTACCAGCAAGCACTCATAGCATTGCAGAGATGGGAGGCTTTACAAATGCATTAAAAATGAGTATCCATTCTGAAACAAATGTTTAAGTATCGTGCTCTGAAACAGACACTGTGATCTAAGTGTCAAGAGTCAGCCCAGGGACGGAACTTTGAGCCCACAGAGCTGCCAAGAGGTCTAAAACAAAGCAGGGCAGGATTATTTGTAAAAATCCTGGGGAAGAGCAGCCCAGGGTTATGACTCACAAGGAATTCTTAGTGACTCCCAGAGAAAGGAATGAAAGTACTTCCACTACAGAGCAAGAGCACAGCACGCCGCAAGCAGAGCGGCACCATGTGAGCCAGGCGCAGCCCCAGCGCGCTGGGATAACGCACTCACCTTGTCCACAATGCAGATCTGCTTCTTGCTCTGCACATCAACAATCTCTACTTCAAAGTAGGTGATTTTCGAATGCTTGAGCGCCGGCGATGGTTTGATCTGGCCAGCAGAGAGCACCAGCTGGGACAGGTTGAGGAAGGAGCGAGAGTCATTGTGAGCCATGGGCAGAGCTGCTCCATGGGCTGCGGGGTCCCGGCTCTGCCTCCGGAGCATGCTGAGCCCCGGCAGCAGCGATCCTCATATCAGCAGGGGACAGTTCCAGGGGAAAATGTGTCCTCCCTGCTGCAGTTAAATACGGCCACGGAGCGGCCAGACACAAAAGGTCAAGTGGCATTCCATCTGAAGTGTGCTGGCTTATTTAGCAGGAGTGAAAACAATGGCTCTGTAATCCATGCCTATATTTAACCTGCTAGCGTGATGTCCTGTGTTGATGCTGCTGCTGCTTTCTTATTTTCTTTTTTTTTTTTTTCATTTTATTTAAACCAGCGTTTGAAACAAGACATCCTGAAATTCCCTATTAGCAGATATCAGATCCAGAGACCCAGAGGAGCAACCAGAAATGAATGCAGAAAATTCCACTGTTACCTACTGAGACAGATGTTTAAAATGTCCATGCACACACACATGTATAGGTATAAATGTCACCTGTTCTAGAATAATCATCATCAGATGCCATCTATTCTAGAAATATCTACTAACAAAATAGCATGAGCAAAATCATGCTCATCAGCAAAATTTAGGGAATACTTGCAAATATCTCCTTGGCTTTAGCACTATGGATTTTCTGGTATTTAACAGGGTAGAGCTTTCCTTACAGTTCTGCCAGGGAAAATCAACTGAAGAAATGGAAGTTATAACCTTAAAGGCATTCATTCGGGGCTTGGATCATTTCACTACTTTCTTATTCTTTCCTGACAATTTTTACAATGCCAGTCTGCAACAAAGCAAAAGCAGTTTAATGGTAACAATAAAGACTACATAAAACAACAATTTTTCTCTGAAGCAGCTTCCCCAAGCCTTGTTTAAACTTCATTGCTCCATGTATGGCTTTTTAATAGGATTTAACAGAACTAGCAGCACTTTTCCATCCTGAAATTCTCCCTAAATTTCCCTGGGCTGCCTAGGATTACAGTGTTAGAAGGGCACCATGAGTTTCTGCAGACAGCTCTTTCCACAGAGTAAATTCCGAATACATTTCTCCATGGTAAAATCCAGGGAAAACTACAATCACTATTACAAAAATCATATGGGTTAGCTACACTGAGGAAATTAATTAAGTGAGAAAAAGCTTCCACAAAGTAAAAGTCACCACACAATTAATCCCCACTATGGGGATGCAGGGTGGAAACTGAACAGCTCTCTTTTCTTTAATTCTGCTATAACTTAGAGAAAATGTAGTGGTTCTTTAGCCATAGTTCTGACTAAAGGAGCTAACCCCAACTCATAGCTAAGATGCTTTATGCCCACATGACATAACAAATTTTGAAGTAGCCCAGACTGAGAGAAAAGCCCCCGCTGCTTGGTGATGCAGACATGCAGCCTTGGAATGCCCTCCCTGGATTTGTTGATGGAAAGCCCTGACTGGGGGAATCCAGGTGTACAACAATATCGATCCACTACTACAAAATAACCAGGATTAAATTTTGGCTATACTGGAATCAGTTAGTGTCTTGGCATTGGTGCAGAACAAGTCAGCATCCACAGGAAAAAAGCAGTTAGACTTGACTATATAATATAAAAGAAGTTCACCTGTCTCTGAGGTTAAAGGAAAGGGGTTCAAGGAACCATCACCTTGGTGGAGTCAATACAGCAAACAGAAATTTTGGTATAAGCTAGTCACAACAGGGAGAATGGCAAATTATTGTCTTACTGGAAGGGGCTTGCTGAAAACAGCCACCTAAAGACCACAGAACACACAGGTCCTAAAATCCAAGTGTGAGATACACTTACTTGTATGTGCTACTCTAAAAAAACTGTAAAAACTTGTACAAGGGATGAGACAAACTGATACAATATCCCCTTTTAGCTGTAAGATTTATATGAATAAGTGAGCTGTAATAGCATATATTCATAAATTTCTAAATTTATTTCAATTCAAAACCCATAAAGAATAATATTGATCATCAAGGCTAATTTCTGTGTATATAAAGGAACTGGTGTTACAGTCATTACTGCAAGTATATTTATAACACTTAAAATGATAACATCTGAGCTGCTGCTGCTGCTGAGAAAAAAAGCTTTTGATTTACTGCAGACATTTAAATGATCAGAATTTTATTACTGACCAATGAGTGCTTGAATATCTGAATCAGTTCCAGGAAAATGCTTACAAAAATACACTCCTATTTTTTGCAGTCCAAGCTAATCATTTGCAATTTTAATATTTTGATGAACAACCATCTTTATAGACCCAAACACTTTGGTGACATTAAGTAGGAGAGCTTCCCTAAAGGTGGCTGGCTCTTTTCCTCCCTCTATTGTATTATGGATTTAGGATCAGACTGCAGCAAATGCAATGCTTGCATGTAAAGTGGATGAGAGCTACTCTACCAAAAATAATCAGGGATAGAGTTACCAGTGATAACCCAAGCTCAAAAAGGGAGATGAATAAAAGCTGTGATGGTTTTGCCATTATTGTAACAAGTGCTGCACTTTCTTGAAATGGTATCAATGGGTTTGGATGTTCCAGTTCAGTGTGAAGCCATCCAGCCCATTCTGTGTAGAAGGGAAACATTAATTACTGGACAGACGGCACATCTTTCCTTTAAATGCCTTTATTGTGGCTCATCTCAGCCCTCAGCACTGGATGGGCAGTCCCAGCACATGGGGACAAGTGATCAGCCCTGTGGTGAGATTTATTGATCCTCATTACACACTACAAGGTGCTGTCCCCAGGGCTGTGGCAGGGCTGGCAGCCAGCAGCCACCCAGCCCCTGACCTCAGCTTCATTTTGGGACTCTGAGAGGAGTCAAAGAGCACTCAGCAAGAATTAAATCATCTCTGACAGCTTCAACTCACACTGAAGTTCAGGCCATATAAGGGGCTGATATTTTGGAGGGGCCACAAGAATGGGCATCACTCTTCTCAAAGTGTGGCTCTGCCTCCTCTCCTCCCTTGGCACTCAGCTCACATGAGCTGTTCTGGAGACAGGCAGGCACTTGGTTTAGCCTTCCTTCCAAAATGCACTTTTTCAAGGAGGCAGAGAATGCCTGCTCCTAGATCACACAGCCTGGTTAATACAACTGATGATATTTTCAGAAAAAAAAAAAAGTTACACTTGTAAAGGATTTTTTTCACCCTTCTAATCAATATCTGGAAACAAGCATCAGCCTGTGCTGGTCATGACAAAATAGGCAACAAACCACTGGTCAGGGGCTAAGACTTAACATTCAGTTTCTGCTTTTGACATTGATATCCTGTGAGGGGTTGGGGAGCTGCTGTTTTCCTGCTTTTCCCTTCCTATTCCACATGGCATCCCTGTGTGAGGCTCTCTTGCACTGTGCATTTTGCAGACAGCCTGGCACAAAGGGATTTCAAAAGATCCCAGCTGGGGCCTTAAGGCGCTTCTGAAGTTCCTTTTCATCTCTGGTGATGTTTTGAGCTCCCCCTTCCCCAGTGAATTGGCCATCTCCTTTCAGCCTGCAGAATGTCAGCTGCTAAGTCAGCAGCAGAGGGTCACCTCTGTCAGCCCAGATGCTTGTCAGCAGCCCCTCACATGGCACTTTTTTATCCCACACATTTGGAATGCTTGGCAGGACCGGGGTTATTCCTTTCCCACAGACAGACACAGAACTCCAGAGCCCAAAGTATGTGGGGTTCAGAACCACAGGCCATGGAATCTAAAACAAAGCAGATTGCCAAGGACACACTTACCTCAGTGTGCCATTTTTGGAGACTGTGCCATTTGTCTTGCTGGGGAGGGAGATCTGCACCTGTGTGTTCACATGGCCCTTGGGCTCACACCTTTCCCAGCAGCTGTGCAGCCCTTACACCTGGAATTGTGCTCAATCTAACCCCACTGTGAACATCTCCCTGTCAGATTTCATGTTCTAAGGGCCAGGCAGGGGTGTGGAGCTGCTCTTCCAGTGCATTTTTATTGAGCTGTCCAAGGAAGGATTTAAGAATCTGATCTAATTTACTCATTTGGAAGAACACTGATAATAATTTGTGTGTCTGGCTTCTGGCTTCATATGTCAGAGAGTTTAGGAATAGGCTTACCAGATTACTTGGGGTGCTACTGCATTTAAATGTTTGGTTTGATTCTGCTACCCATAGCAATTAAATAACAACTAGAATGTATTTCTGAAGCATTGCAGAAATTTAGGCATGAGCCTGACTGCTAGGGAAAAATAAAAAAAGACCAACAAAAACCACTCTACATGAACCTCGGGCATTTATTTGCCTGCACACTCCTACCTCAGAAGTCATAGAATCAATTTAAAACATTGTATCTGCATGCTTGCACACAAAAACGACACTTAGATGCAGCTCCACGGAATTCTTACTAAAACAACTCAGGTAATTTCATTTTCTCTCTTGAAGCTAAGTCTCTTAAATAAGTAGTGGACAAGAGAAAGGCACAGAAGGAGACTGTCCTGACTAACACTAAACAATCCTAAAGCTATTTTAAATAATGCTGAAGTCAGGACTAAACCCCACCAGCCAGGGGCCAGGGTAAAAGTGATATACACCCATGTTCCTCCTCTCCAGCTGCACTGGCAGGGCTCCTCAGCGCAGGATGACAACCTTGCTGACCCTGTGAGCTGTGCAATGGAAACATTACATGGCCACGAGCCACAAGCCTCAGGCCACATCCTTCAGAGGCTGTGAGAAGGGAAAGTCAAAGGAGCAGCCCTGGGATCTCCAGTGCCCACCTTGTCCCTGCAGGAGCTTTTACCACTGACCAGATCAATGACATTTTGTCAGCTGTTAAAATCTCACTGTAGTAGCCTGGTTTTATCCTCCTGACTTTGAAAACTGAAAATATTGACTTTAAACTTTGGTGTGGGTGGTGCCAATTAGAAGCAAATTCACAGCACAAATCAAATCCAAAGGCAGTGTTTGTTTTATCCCCCACAGACATCCACGAGAGACACAAGGGAAATAAGCAAAGTTGAAATACAGGATAGTAATTCTATCTGCAAGCAGAACACAGCAAAACCTCCACCCCCAGCCCCTGTAGCGCACAAACACACACCTACTTCTCTACCAAA